TCATCTGCACCGGATAAAAAATTTCTCCAGAAATAAAATTTTTAACACATCGTTTTTCCTACTTAAATTATTGTACGTCGATATTTTAAATATGTAAAAATTGCGTTACCCCAATTACCAGCCGTCAATCAATGGTCACCGCATCATAAATATTTAAATGTATCGATAATTTTTTTCAGCATAAATTATTGTCGTATCGGGGCATGTCGAGCACGGTATTATTATCAATGCAAAATGTCACCCGTATAATAATACTAATAATGCACGCAAGATTTCATGAAAAATCGGTATAAACTATAATAAACGATTGTGCACGCAAATTATGCGTGTGTCATGCGTGAAGCTTTGATGCTATACGCATGAATCGCATTAATGTACAAATGTTTAATCCACGATGGGCTGTCGATAAAGGAATATCATCAGGATGTAAAATCAAGTAAGCGAATCGAATATCGCTAAAATATAAGTCACCCATATCACTCGTAATTTCAGCCGTTCGATGCCAATAATATTAAACATAAATAATTCATCCGTTTCTTTGTCACTATACGCCAGTTGAGATTTTATATACAATACGCGTAAAAAAATTCAAAGTATAAAGCTATACTTTTTGGTAATTACTTATAGTAGAAATAGATTTTGCAATTATCCGCGACATATATCGAGTGTCTCGAATCAACCGAAGCACATAATTTTGACGAGCGTTGATCAAAGTATCTTTGTTTCATATACAAAGATTCTTCCTCTATCGCGCTTTTCACCCGATTTAATTCGCAGTTGGCGATACGGGCCGTATATTCCAAATCATATATATTGAAAGTTGCAACGGGACGCGTAAAATACCGCACTGCTTAAATAAATCGTTTCTCCTCTCTCCAGTCTCTACCGCAATCTATCAGTGTGCGTCAGCCGTCGCACCTTCGCGCGCTGGATAATTTATTGCAGGGTGTATCGGGCCGCCAACAATATAACCAATCTGATGGTCGGCAGAATGCAGTGGCCGCAAAGCGCCAATAAATATGGATGGAGTAGTAATAAATTATAGCTGGAAAAGACGATTAGAACGCGGCTATAAATTACCACGAATATATATCGCGAGCGTACGACTGCGCGACTGCGCCGCGCCACTGCGCCTTATGATGGCTACCCCATATGTCCGATAATATGCGGATATTTTTTGGCCTTTAATCCGTTTAACCGCGAATATTCATAGCTTCATCCGTCCGCCGCGCCGGCCGCGGCCGCGACCGCGCCGTTCGTTTTTAGCTCGTCCATTTAGATTACGATGCCCTTCGTGCCATCGCGTGCGATATCGTTAAATTCTACACCTTTGATGAAAAACACTACACTAGGCGGATAATCCTAAAATTATAACGAAACACGGAGCATGGCAAAGTTTCGCAATTCTCTCTTTTCTTGCAGAGAGAAGCGTTTAAGTAATAGAAAGTATTCGAACGTATTCGTTGATATATATATTTTAATCGTGTATTGTTAAAATGTTAAGGTAAATTTGGAAGGTAAATTGGAAAATGTATTATTAACGTTATTAGCCAGAATTTGTGATACGCAATTTGATCATTATTCCTAAAATATCCGTTTTATAGGAATGTTGGTCACATTATTCTTTCTTAATCGTTAACGACAAATATCATACAATTGAATAAAACTCAAAGGGAATGTAGTATCGTACACCGAGTTTAACACGAAATATTTATAATACTTTTATCTCGATTTCCACGCGAGTATAAATTATTGCGCAAATCACAGTGATCTAGCTGAAATGTGAATTAGTCGACGCGTATTGAGTGGCGTAATTGCCACTCAATTCAATCCCTATCAGCCTAGCTTTCTAAGAGGCTCTAATCCATCGGTATACGTAATTAGGGAAGAACCAAACGGCAAAAAACCAGGGGTGATCGACGATAATGCACTCGCTTTCTTACCGCGAGATATGAAAAAACGAGATGGATTACCGCTCAATCTCTTATCGCTTTAATGCATTGTTAATTGCAGTTCAAAATATCATTGCAGTTATTCTGTAGATCGAGTATCACGTGGAAAACCCGTTAGAAAAACTGTTTTTTACAGTAGAAACCAATTTTTCGACCGTCCCGCAAGTTGATCAATTCATCTAGGCGCAAAGCGCTTGCCGTTTATTATATTTTTAAGGTAATCGGCGCCTGTCAAAGCGGCGAATCTGTCCAATTTTTTTTTTCAGCGGAATATTTTCAAAGGCTACGCAAAAAAAAATGAGAGGAAAAAGAGCACGTGTGTCACTTGGAACGAGTAAAACCGCGGGGTTCGTTACCAAAAATGCGAATTAATGTAACGCCTCGCTCGGTTCGTTTTCTCCTTCCCTTTTTTATACGCTTTTACGGTATGTTTGGCGTCGCCGTGTTCGGATTCCTGCATGAACGCTATTTTCGCTTTTGAGAGTCCCCGAAAAATTTCACAACGCTGCGTACGTACGAAGGGCTCCAGCTCGCAGAAATATTTCTCCCGGCGCGGGCGGAGTAATTTAGTTGTTACACATTTTTTGCAGCAGATTCGCGTGTCGGTGATAAAATATAAATTCAACCGGGCAATCGGGTATCTATGAAGAATTCCAGTCGGATCGTCCTACTTCTATATACTTCAATTATATCTCGTTATTATTGGCAAATCGTAAGAGAAATTTTGATGTTATTATAATTGAATACCTCTACACTGCTCTTACTACTTTGGATTTTTATAAATATTCGAATCTGGAGTGTTCTTAATCTGACAAAATATTCCAGTCAGAATGTTGTAATATTCATCAGAAATTTTGAAATCAGATTTAAACTTCAATATTTTGAATAATAAGAATGTATAATAGTAATATTTTATCTATTTAATAATAGATTTATATTAGCGCAAAATATATCAGGCTAGGAAAGCTTGAAATTTTAGTTAAAGTTAAGAAAAGATTGATTTATTAATCGTAAAGTTGATTAATACTCATTTATAGCGTTATCTATTTACACATATACAAGCAAAATTGATCGGGTGAAATATAAGATGAATGAGATGCGATTACCTTTATGATATACAGGCATAATTTTCGAATTCAAGTACGGATGAAACTTCCGCCAAAACTTGGTATCCCGCGAGAAAGAGTCGTCACGATAAATCTCGCAAGATATACGGAATAACTTCTTATTGCCGGAACTCTGCGAACGTAAATCTCGTTCTCCCTGTCGTCGCTAATTCTGACTACGGCGCGTCACATCTCGAATCGCGAACCAATTTCCGAAAACCGACAAAACTCGGAGAACTTTTCCTTCCCGTTGGTGCTTTTGTTGAACTTTGACCATCGAAGTATTTACCATTTTTCTCATCGATAGCGTCGCCGTTATAAGTCGTTATTCCGATAAATCGGATGATGTGATGAAAAGGGGATGATCGATGCTATGTGCAAGAAAATTAGGCAATTTGATTATATCACTCGCGATAAATCTCTCTCTTTATGACGTATACATGTATACTGTATAGAAAACGCTAATCGCCATAAAATCGATCGACGCTTTTAAGGCTTCTCTCTCTCAACCAGGTTAATTCCAAAAGTCGAAACACGACGAGAATGCACAATCGCGCACAAAAGTTCGTACATAATATATATCAGGGAAATTCTGCTCGCATGTACCTACTCTCTCGCCCGCTGCCGCTTGCCTCTGCAAAAAGCCGTAATGGAGTTTCGACGTTTGTCGGCATTGTTTCGCTATTTTGTAAGCCATCGAGAGCGCGGATCGTCTCTAACGGATTGCTTGATTTTACGGAACGCCGAAGGGCGAAAATGCAAGTTACAGCAGATGGGAACGTCTGTGTTCGTCTGTTTACAATCCTGGAAAACGCGCCATTCTCTCTCTCTCTCTCTCTCTCTCTCTCTCTCTCTCTCTCTCTCTCTCTCTCTCTCTCTCTTTCCTCTTTCTCTGTAATCGTCTCTAGAAGCTCTTTGAGACTCTTCAGAACTCCGCTAAAATCGCAAATGCTTCGCTCGATTCTCCAGCTCCACCCTCACGCTCGTTGTCGCAGCTAATCATTCGCGCAACTAATTAGTTCTTGCGCGTTCTCTAAGCGGATTTAATGTCGCGTGCGTTGTAATCGGATCTTCGATGTCATTCTTATGAATTTATTTCATATATACGAAAGATATTTAAAAAATCGTGATACCTCACGATAAATAGTGAAATATATATCCAGCCTCGAAAATTTAAAGGAAAAGTTCTTATTTTTATCATATTATATATTGATGGTTGTTGTATTGATATCTACTTGTTTTTTATATCACTTGAGTTTTATCTCACATACACATATATTTTGATAAGACTAGATTTTATTTTTATAAGATTATTATCTATATTATATTACTTTGTTTGGACTCCTAAATTTATTAGATGCTTTCAATGCTACGCGAGTCGTGGAATATCTCATTCGAATCGGATTTGACTTGCGTAAATTTTTGCGACGCAATCGATTTTCCTTATTTCTCTTTCTCTCGTTTCTCAAATTCAAGCGATGCACCCTTGCTTGTTAATCGATTTATATATATACATATATATATATATATATATAATAGGCTTATTTGGCCGTGACAAACCAGATTTTCGCGGGTATTTCGTATCACCCGCGGGGATTTAATTCGGTTTGTCGAAAATGTTGAAAGGCAAATCGAAGCTTTAAGGAGATTATTGGTCATCGATACACCACTTTTTTAGTCCGAGAAACGAAATACAGTGATTGAAAAAATTCTGTTTGCCAAACTAAAAGCCCAGTTTCGATTATATAAAAAAAATGAATCTATTTATAACAGATTCGATTATATATACTAATTTGTTTGTGTAAAAATAGGAAAAAGAAGATATTTACAATGAGAGAACATTTCACAACAAAGATTTAGATAACACGGTTTTTATATTTATCGAGCTCGAATGTATAATGCCGCCGTTTAATTAACTTTCTTTCGTAACATTTAATTCCAGTTCTCGTGGCGAAAGAAGAAAGAGAGATTAGTAAAGACGCGAAATTCCATTATACGAAAATAAGAAGAGGAAAAAATGGATGAAAATCAACAACGGGGACCGATATTCCGGTCGCTCAACAGTCAACACGAATCCTTCGTCAGATTTATTAACACGACACCTCATGCTATTACCTTATACTGGATGGATTATCAAGGACAGGCAATTAGTTACGGCGATCTGTCACCTGGGGACTACAGAGAAATAAACACGTTTCATACGCATCCGTGGATTTTCGTCAATAAAGAAACGGGTGTCAGGTATGTGTAATAATCATCATCTTGCCGATATTATATCGGTAATAATCCACATGCAATAAACTATTTCTAACGAGTTATGGATAATCGTAATTTGCAATAGTATCAATAATGTTCAGGCATAAAAAGATACGGAGTCTTGTCTTGAGAGCGAACCAACGTTTATGTTATAGGAATATAGGCTAACATTGCCCCGCAGTTTTATTCTTAAAATACTAAAAAAATGAATATAATATATTATCCATATTTCCAAATTAGTTAAATTATTTTATATTTACTTAATTGCACAAATTGTTTTGTCAATAAAATTAATTGTCGTGGGTTAATTGTTTCGTGTTTCTAATAGAGATTGTCATAAAGAGATTAGTAAAAGGCTTCTGTTTTCGCCGGTTTATCCACACATTCTGAAATATTTTCTTCGAAATATCTGCTTCGAATAGACAGATTAATAATGCTTAGGGCAAAACGAAACAGGTACTTGGTGGATCAGCGCGACGTTTTCTTTCCTGCGCCGTGGTTTCTCAAGTACCGTGGCGTTAGGCGGAGCGAACTGCCGCAAAGAATCGAGAGGACCAACGTGTACATCGTTCTACCGATGTTCACTCTGCAACAAGTGTCACTAAGAGTCATCAAAAACTGTCTTACGTACGACTCGCAGGCTTTCCTTCTCGACATTCCACGAAGTCTCCAGTTAGAACTCTTTACGATGCTACCGAGAAAACCTCGACCCTCGTAACATGTTCTTCATCTAACGTGCCATCGTTTTTACGCGATTAGGATAGTAGCGCGAAAGATAATTAATAACGAAGGAAAAACATGAGACGTTTATAACTTTTGCAAAGATGAAGAAAATGTTTAACGAGTTTTTATTCCTTTTTTGTATGGAAAAGACTTATTGAATGAATCTTTTCGTTTCTTTTTTCATAGTACGTGCACAGTCATGTACCGCATATTATTTAATATTATTACATGCAAAATGCAGTTCTTAAGGATATGCTTAGGGCAAATTAATATTTTTTGGTTGGAAAGCAAAAATTATATATTTTTTATGTAATCGAAATCGAACAATCTTTTACAAGAATATTTAAAACATGCAGACGAGGTGTTTGCGAAAATTAGAATTTGGCTATTACAGTAAGAATCTGTAACTTGAAATTTTATCGTAGGCAAAAATATGATTTTCTTTCAACTCAAGAAGTGTTTCAAAAAACCGAAATCTGAGAGAGAGAGAGAGAGAGACATGTTTGCGCAAAGTTGCCATTTTTATTCGCCATGCGTATTCATCTCTCACGAGCAAATATGCAATAGATTATTAATTAGTATGTCGTGAATATTTTATATTCACAAAGTCGTATTATTTATGAGAGTGTTCGGCCATACATGACAAGATATATATATCATTGTTTGATACGAATAAATATAACAACGAATCTCGCTGATGTCCTTTAACTCTCTATAACGATTTTGATTAGATACGCCACTCAGGAAGTTTCAGGAAAATCGTCGATAGTAATCTGAGCTCGTTTCCGCAATTTGTTAGCAGAGTTCCGAAGATATTAACCGACTCCTCTTCTGCGCCTCGTCCTTTTCGCTCCTTTCACGTTCCTCTCGTTTTCCACGTGAGCTCGATAGATATCCCGAAAACTTTTCTTCGTTAATTAACAGTTAGCCAAGTATCGAACACGTTCAGAAGTGAAATGTATATAGTGACGCATTCGTCGTCAAAAATGTAATTTTTGTCAAATATGTCAAAAAATATTGTAATAAATAAATATATATTTACAGTTGTATAAAACAAAATATATGTGTTATGCTACCACAAAAATTGTACAGAAAATATATATTTTTAAGTAATACCTGCTTCTCTCAAAATGATTTACACATTGAAACCTTTAGATACTTTCATTTTAAGGAGCCCATATGTTTCGCGAGAGAAAAAGAGAGAGAACTCACTTTTCGCGTCTGAAATAGTCGTTGAAGTAAAATTTCAGTGAAACTTGATAAAAATTCGACTGCTATTTCACGAAACGCGAGTGCATGAATCATGCACTTTTACTGCGCCTTTCATGCATATATTTTTATTATATGTAATAAGGGATCGCAGGTGAAGGAGAGGGATGTGGAGAGGTGGCGCGGAGAGGTCTGTCGGTAAGTCAATTTCCACCGTGGTTATTCGAGTAGTCAGCAATCGATTAAACACGCGCTAAATGGACTCTGGTCACTTCCTCTTAATCCATCCTGACCCTAATGGGTTTTAAACCGTCGCGGAATGTCATCGGACGACCCGTCTGTGGTCAGACTTATTGCCTATTCTGGATTAATATCCGAACATCACGTAAATTCCGTGCTTTGATCAACCGAGGGTATGTGAAGTTGACTCTTAATTAAAGTCTCGTCATCGATAATGGAGTTGACAGTTAAAAGAAATAAAGAACAAAATTGTAGCTGCTGCTCGAGTATAGTGTGAATTTTCTGAGAGTGTATCCTCGCATTCACTCGCGATGTTGTACGGGACGTAACAAAGAAAAGAGGAGAAAACGGGGAAAAAGATCGTGATCTACGCGATAATTCTGTGCAAGAATACGAGCAGAGAGAGAGAGAAAGAGGGGGGGGGGAAACAAAAGTTGCGAAATTAAGGTAGTCCGTGGGAGCAGCTAAAAATTCTTGCCTCGTATAACATGTACAATCAGATGAAGGTACTAATTGTAAATCTTGAACAAAGAACTAATTAAATATGAATAACATAGAAAGTTGAATATCAGTAGCGTGCTAATAATTGAGAGTCATGCAATATGCTACTCAGAAGTATCGTATTCAATTTATAGTAATCAATTTCCTAAAAACAATAAATCAACGCATAGACGCTATTAGGAAATAATTTATAATAGTGCGGTACGTGCAACTCTCTGTGTTTATCACGTTTAAGGGGTTAGGCCACTCTAGAGCAAGAAAAAATTGGCATATTTCGGGAATTTTTTTTAACGCAATAAAGGGATCAATCGAAATTCTGTAAAATGGGTTTTATCATACTACTAATGAATTACAAAAAAAATATTTTTTTATGTCAGCATTTCTCCGTCGATGCTTTTTTTTCCACGGCCGGAAATGTAACTCATGCAATTTTTGACCTGGAACAAAAAACCAAAATTTTTTTGATTATATATAATAACAGCTAGAGACCTACGTAGGATTTTTTCGACACATTGATTTTTGGCAAAATAGTACATTTATGAAAAAAAAGTTTAAAATTTCGAGAAAAAAATTGTCACATAATTGTTTATAAAAAGAATACTATGCAATATAAAAAAAATCCTACGGACGTCTCTACATGTTATTATATATAATCGAAAAAATTTTGGTTTTTTGTTCCTGGTAAAAAATTGCATGAGTTTATACATTTCCGGCCGTGGAAAAAAAGGCATCGACGGAGAAATGCTGTGCAGCCGCCATTTTTTTATTAATTAATATAAAAAAATAATTTTTTTGTAATTTATTAGTAATATAATAAAACCCATTTTACAGAATTTCGATTGATCCCTTTATTGCGTTAAAAAAAATTCCCGAAATATGCCTATTTTTTCTTGCTCTAGAGTGGCTTAACCTTTTAATTGAAAAATAAAAATTCAAGCTATCAATTTAGATTTATCATTTTATTAAAAGCCGGATTAACGATACGCATATTATTTTCAAAATACCGATGGTCAGTTACTATAATAATTGTAATGCGAATCTCTCGAAATTTGATATGAATAACACGAAACCTTTCACATATTGCATATGTCATTTACAATGGTAACTGGACCCATCGTAGGATTGAATAACTAAAATCACCTGTGCGAGGAAAACGTCAGATTATGCAAAATTTGAACATGATCAATGGAGAGCCATTCTGAAATCTGTGATTTCAGATGCAGGAAGGGCACGCCACGTTTCTCCTCAATTGCAGCGTTACGTCGCGTACGTAACGTTGAGATTAACAAATAGATCCGAAAAAGTAAACTGGGGCAATAAACAAAGCGCAGCGCGATAAATTGTATGAACGTAATTAATTGTACGAGCGGGTTTAATTAAAAGAAGCGACTCAACGAATGTAACATAATAATTGTAACAAGTCACTCTTGGTTTTCGTAATTACGTCGCAAATTGCTATTTAGGTACATTCGGTTTAAAATCTGTGACAGCTACTTATTGAAATATTAATCGCATTTCCACTGAAAGCAGAAAATTACCGCCGTTCTTAGCATAGCGTCCGATTGCGACGCTTAATCGGTACAAAATCCGACCCCTCTCCCCCTCCCCCCGTGTTTTCTACGAATACATCGTAATTACCAATTAGAAGTAGCGACTAATTACGAGTAATTACGAGAAAACGCCGCGCCCGTAGCGATGGGTTGTTCTTCTAATTAGATATCGGCGCAGGCGTCGCGCGATGCCGTTGTCGCATTCCATGCAGGCGACGACGCGCGCCGCCCACGCCGCCGGTCGATTCGCGCTCGCCCCGTGCGATTCACCGATTGCTAATTAATTGGCGTACTAATTACGGCGACGTGACTTCAACACTCGCTTCGCCGTTTACCATGGAAATGCCACAGCCTCTTTCCCGATGCATTATGCGCGTCGACGTATTGCGGCAACGATATTCTGCAGCGTTCCGCAAATTTTATTTAATTTTGGTAATGGGTTACGTAAAGAGCATACTTAAAGTTTCTAAGTGGTTGTCGGTCGGCATTTATGGTACGGAAAATTCTTCAATTATATTTGTAAGCCAACATTTCGTTAGAGAGCTTAATTTTTCGAAAGTAAACTTTCGAAAAAGTCATATATGTATATCTCTTTTAAAATATCGCATAATAAAGCGGAACGTCATCGTCCACGTCAAATAAATATATTTAATGAAGATAATGAGCTTTTCTCAATCAGGGAGGATCATAAATAATACTTCGAAATTTCTGGCTGTAATGCGCCCCTAAGTGGACGTACACGAACTAATTGCTCCCATATATACGGTTTAATTGCTCAACTGCAGCAGCAACGGAACGATTCTCAGAACTTGCTATCAAGTGAGAACCTGCTTAAAGAAGTTACTTCTCCTTTCCGTTCGTATCTGTAAAAGATGCGGCGATATAGCGCTTGTCTTAAGCGCCGACGGTGCGATGTAATAAAATGAAGTTTCATATTACGACGCCTTAATAACTATTAATTTCCATCTCTTTAACTCTCTAAATTAATGAATATTTTACGAGAATTTATGGTTCCGCTTGATATCCCAGCTATCAATAAGGCTTGGAAAACTGGACAAAAAAACTTACATTACGTTCTTAGTAAAATAAATATGAGATTAAACAATCGATTTTTCCTTTTTGTTGATTGAATCGCAAACTGTCTTATTGATTTGTCTTATTACGAAAATAAGTTTCGAAATAATTATAACGATAACAAGAAACAGATTGTGTAGTTAAGTCGGTATCGCGCATATGTCATGGGTCAAGCGGTAACGGGTGGTCGAACAATTTAAAAATACCATTCGGAGAGAAAAATCTGACAAAACACAAATGGCGAGCATACGTTTGAAGACGGAACGACGGACGTTCTATTTATTTTGTGTTTTTTTTTTCTCAACGATAACGACGCTGATCTGGATTTTCTGTTAACAAAAGAGCTTGAAAGCCTCTCACGGATGTATGCAATTGCAAATATTTGATTTGTAACGGTGCAATGTTTGAACAGCGGACGCGCAAAAATAGAAAAACGCGGAACGTGACGCGCGACAACAGCGGTACTGATAATTCCCTTTGCGATATTTTTTACAAAAAAACAATAATTTATCTCGCGAATATTATGTAGCAAAACTGCTTGCTGGCACAGCATATTTTATTTTATACTATCAATACTATCATGGTACAGCTTATTTCATTTTATACTATCAATACTATCATAGCAAATGTCATTATTCTTTATGTAGAATAAAAAGATTTCTTAAGAGATTTTCGATTGATCGAAAGTTCCGATGGCGAAGTATCTGATAATTAATTTGTTTTATCTTTCAACATTTTCAAATAGCCGAATAATTATTAATTTCATATTTCAATTTAGTTGATGTTATGTGTGTACATGTAAGTTATCAAACAATTATTTTATCCAAGTTAATTTTCAGGACAAACCAAATATCCATTCGATACTCCCTTTGATATTCTTCTACGAAATTTTCGCGAATGGCGTTAATGCGCTAACAGATGCAAATTACATAATCGCATCCGTGTTAATTAATACGTCTGAGTCAGCTTTGTGCACAGAGATTCCCCAACTAATGGGCAAGCTCTCGAATTTCATGATGCGTACTTGTCTATATGTATGTACGTAATGCTATTTCACGTAGCATTCCACGAGATAAAAATATTTTCAAGTTACTATTCGATGCAATATAACGACGTAATTCAATATTATATAAATTAAACGATATTTCTCGCAATAAAATAATAAACAAATACATTCTTCTTTCGATAATCCATATTATACATCTGGATAATTCTCTCTTCAAATAAATTAAGAGTAAAATATTTCGACGATTATTGCAGATGAGTAGATATATATGTTAGAAAAAGAAAATATTACGTCAATTTCAAAGAAGAAATATTTGTTTCAACAAATCGATTACTCGCGTACCGCACGTTTCGAGTGACATGGAAAACTTTTCGCGATGCAAATTGACGTCGATTCGTACGTGTCAAACGGCTGGTCCTCAAAAATTGAGAGCTCCCCGCGTAGCATAACTATTTGCATGTTGGTATTGTAACG